TTTAGTGACAAATAAGGCGTCAGTTTTGCCAGAAGTGGACAAAATAATTGTCTTAAAAGAGGGATCCGTTTGTGATTTCGGATCATTTGATGAACTGATGGCCAAAAGTGGAGAATTCGCTGAATTTGTTGCCGAATATGTCATTAAACAGGAATCCGAAGACATCGATGAGAAAGAGATGCAAATTCTGGCAAAACTAAAACAAACAGTAAAACCATTAATTGAAAAACAATTATCCGTCAGATCTAATGACAGCGATGTTATGCCTAAGAATCTGTCAAGAGATGTGTCCACAAGTGATTCAATTAAAGCTAATACATCTAAAAAGGCAACTGAAGAGGAAGTGTCTAATGAAAGTGAAAACAAGCGATTGACTGAAAGGCAAGAATCGAGTGAATCTGATTCCGAAGAATGTACTGTTCGTAAGCGAAAGCCAGAACCAAGAAGTGTCTCAACCGGTGATAATGAGGCCAATAGTGAGCCCAATAATAGTAAAGACAAATCGCAAGAAAAACTACAGAAAACGTCCGGAAAATTAATGTCCGACGAGAAGACAGAGAGCGGTTCCGTGCGATTCAATGTCTACAAAAAGTACTTCCAGTTGATGGGTGTCGGGACTGTGACCGCTGTCCTATTGGCGTACGTGTGCTCATCCGCCGCGACAGCGGTGTCGGGCCTATGGCTTTGCGAGTGGTCAGAGGACTCGCTGTCCGGCGGCGACCAACAGCCGGGCCTACGATACGAACGACTTGGCGTATACGCGGCCGTCGGTCTACTGGAGATGGTGTCGCTGTTTGGCGCTCAGGCGTGGCTTAGGTTGGGCTGCGTTACGGCCGCTAAGAAACTGCACAATCAAATGCTGGATCGGGTGGTGAGAGCGCCCATGTCTTACTTTGGTATGTAGTCATAGCATACATGTATATATTGTTATATATGACTATCAACTTCTTCGTGACCACCGATAGACACGACACCAATCGGGCGGCTATTGAACCACTTCGCGCGCGACGTGATGGACATTGACACCGACATGATCTTCGCGATGGACACAATTGTGTTACAGTTGTTGCGATTGGTTGTGCTCATCGGTACCATAGGCTACGAACTGCCGCACACTCTGCCGTTGATTGCGGTCGTACTGGCCGTCTATGTCGGGTACCAACGGGTCTATACGGCCAGTTCGCGGCAACTCAAGCGCATAGCATCGGCCGCCGGCGCACCCATTATTGGCCACTTCTCGGAGTCCAATAACGGCACGGACTCTATCAGGGCTTACGGCGCGGGCGACAGGTTTGTGACCGATTTCCACCGTTTGAGTGACAACCGGAACCGTTGCCATTACGGCTCCGTATTGGCCGACTGTTGGATCGGTATTAGACTGAACTTCTTGGGCCACTGTTTGGTCTTATTGATGGCCGTATTTGCTGTGCTATTCCGGGCCGATCTGAGCCCTGGTATGACAGCCCTATTGATTACCTATACGTTGGACATTACGGTTGCTTTGAATGGCTTTATTCGCGAAGTAAGTCAGACAGAGGTGGCGATTGTGGCCGTCGAGAGGTGTCTGGAGTTAATGGATATACCGATCGAGGTTTGCGTTATATAATTGTTAAGTTAACCATAATATATAAAACTAATTATTTGTTTTAAAAGGCCGAGTGGTATAACGAGAAGACTAAACCCGCGGCCGATTGGCCGACAATGGGTTGCATTCAATTCACAGACTATTGCACTAAATATAGAGAAGGTTTGGATTTAGTGCTCAAAGATATAGCAATTGATATGAAAGGCCGACAAAGGGTTGCGATCGTCGGCC